GCTAGTAAAGAATAAAAGTTAATTTGAATGTCCCTACTTGCACTCATTGCCTGAGTGGAACCTGAGCCGTGTTTCGAGGGGGCCCTTTGGCGTGTGAATGTCTCATGCGAAGGGCTATCGTGTAGGACGAACCTCACCCTCCATCATCAAACCGCGAGGTAATAACTATTGTTTTAGAAGGCGGCTGAGTGTTGAGCGTCTCAGGTACCCTTCCAGGTAGGCGACCCCGCTCGACTTCGTCCTCTTTTGTCGACTCACACACACATAGACTTATCTCTCATTTTTTTTTTAAACCTTCCAGACCTTCATAGCAATTTTTTATAGTTCTGACTCTCCCATCCTTCTTAGATCTGGGTCAGTATAATCCCCTCGGGAATAGATCAGGGATGGACGAGACGGAGTCTGGAAGGGGAGGGTATCAGACTTGTTATATAACAGGAAGTGACTCCTTAAAATAAATTCCATTAGGAAAAGAAACAATATAACGCACGTTCGACGCAATTATTATTGTAAAATTAAGGCATGATTATTACAGGTCCGTAAAACATATCATGAATCTATTTTAAAAATTAAAATCCGACCCTCAAACATTCTTTTTTTCACGGAATTTTTATTCTATCTCAACCGTGGCCATTTATGTCAATAGCTAAGTGACAAGAAATATAAATTGTCTTGACCATTTATGATTTTTATTAAATGTGTAATTTGAATAAAAGCGAAAAGTTGAGAGATTCAAAGTTGACGAACATAAAATATTTTCAGCGATCTTAGTATCATGGACAATTTTATTTTGAAAGATCTTAAAACAAACCAATGAATCTCACTAACTCCTCACGGTTCACAATTCAATCGTGTTTTGTTGACTTAAAAAAGTACCGACACGACTTAAATTTGAACTTTGATAGATCGGTATGCTTGTAAGTATACTTATATTATTGTATATATTTACTCAAAACGTAATCGTTTCTCACTTCTGTGTGTTAATAGTCAACAACATGTTGCTTACGCAATAGTTGTATTTATTTTATTTTTCCGATGTGGGGTTATTCTTCCAAGCTAGACATGTTGAGCTATTTTGGAACGACATGATATTAATATTTTATTTTTATTTTTTTATTCATTAAAAAATTAAATAAGAAACATGCTAGGCTGGTCAGCATCTAAGTGATCTTATTCCTTATTGAATTGATGAATCTTTCGCTTGTTAATTATTATTGCTTCATATTTTTTTTTTTTTTTTACACGTACTATGTCGTAAAGGTATCATATCAATAAAACATCAATGATGAAAATAATGTTTTTTATTTTTATTAATTTTCTCAAATGCTTTGTTCATCATATATTTAGTTTCAACTTTATTGTAACGCCGCAAATTGTACTTTGATGTTCGGTAACTTTTCAAACGGAAATCTAGATCCTTTTGCTCATTTTATTTCTCTTCTTTTTTTTTTTTTTTTTCTTTTTTTAAATATGGTTCCCTCAATTCTTTTGGGCAGAGAATAATAAATGACTTCGTGAAACGAGGTTTAGCCCATTGCATAAGGACCAGACAGACAAAAGAAGTCCCAAACCCCCCTGGTCGTAAAAGTATATTACTGTGTTGGGAAACCACACAAGACCACCAAGCATTATGGCAGTCAGGTCCTCTGTAATACAATAATACAATCGCAATATATTCGAATTATTGGCTACATTCGTCCTGACGATAAGGAAAATCGGGAAGGAGTGGAAGAAGCGATTATTTTAATAAATTTTATTAAGCCCCTCAACATACATCGATATTTTTAAATATGTGCATTATATAATTAATTATTGTATTATATTACTATTATACAACTTTATAAAATTAAACAAATAATAGTGACAATCCCCAACGTGTAGTTAAGACCTACAGAGCTTGCTAACTTAAACGGTAGATGGGGACACTTGTATGTTAACTCCAGATCGCATATTGGGCTTAATATTTTTTTTTTCAAATAAAATATATAAATGGAATTTAAAATAAGATTAACTCATAATATAAAAGAAATAAATTATTAACAAATATTAGTTTTAATATTTAAATTTAGGGCACTTTTTTTATTAGTGAATATTGGTAACTGAGAGTCAAAAGTTCAATATTTAAAATTCCGAGGTAAAGTTCATAAATTATTAGTATCTTTTCAGCGTCTAATTATCTAATAAATGTTATTATTATGAAAGAGAAATTATTGCGAATTAACATATAATGAAATTGAACATTAAAAATGAAACAAAAGCATAATGAACCTACGCAAAATGAACCTACTAATACTTTAATTTATAACATTTCGGTGGAATGACTCATCTATATATATATTTATATTATTAAACTGTTTCCTTTCAAGGTGGAATTATACAAAACGCCTCTAAGTCTCTTGAATGCGTACTCCTGGTACAACGGTTGAACGGAGGTTCCCTCCTGTTGGGGATAAGACGGTGGACTAAAGAAAGAATAAATATTGTTGAGCGCCAGCCCTAGGACAGGAAATATTGCAGTGGGGGGGCTACCAGATCCAAAATAAACACACACACACACTCAACGTGCCAGATGTTTTACAGTCCTAGTCTTCTCACTATCACTTTCTATTGTCTTAGTGATGTACCTACGCATGCATGTATTCTTATGGATATATTTATCGTGACCGATAAAAAAAAATTACATTTAAAAAAATGTTGCTATATATAAAATAACATTTTTTTAAAAGATTTAATAGCAAATAATTATCCCAGAATTAAAAAATAGTTATGTATGCAGAACCCCTAATTAGCTTTCATCAAGTCTAAACTAATGTAATAAAAACTTAAACATTTTTCACAAAATTATTATTTTTTTTTTTCTTTGAAAAATGTTCAACATTCCTACCACTAAAATCACTATGGCAATACATGCAATGATCATCAGGCATTGGAATTACAATTTTAATTTGTAAATGTATCAATATATACAAAATAACTACATGCATGCAAATAAGTAGAACTTTCAATAAATTCAAATGATTTATGATGATGATGATATTCAAATGATAACTATTTGTGGTATCCGTGTGAAAATTAACAACAATGCAAATGAAGTGCAATGTGCTCATATTGTGTAGGCTAGGTCAGGGATTAAATTATTTAAATATAAGCACATACAACTGATTCAGTATGATAATGTTTACATTAGAATCATTAAAAACTGTTAATTGTTCCTTTTAGAGATTTGTCATAAATGTGGGAATAAAATCCGGTAAAATCCTCAATGTCAATTGTTTTCAGGCAATTAAATTTTTACGTAATGGAATATTATGAAGGTGAACTGTTATAAATATTGATCAACTTTATGTAAATATGTCTATTTAAATCTCATCATTACTATCATATGTATTCTGGAATAGCTAAATATTTCAGTCATAAACACCCAATTGAATAAATTAGTTTGACATAGAATTGTATATTCGAGGTATGTGATAATTCATTTTCATATAAAGTCATTATAACATTGACAACTGTCTAACAATAAAATCTTTTTCCCCCAAATTGGTAATATTAATTAATATTTGTTAATAACAGATCATTTTTTTAGGTGTAGAATTAAATATCATATAAAAGTTGTAAAAGCATTGACGGTTTCGTTATAAAGATTTGATTTAATTACAACTCAGGAATTTGAGGAGATAAGATTTTCATTAATAAAGTAATCCGTTCAATCGTTTTGAAAAATATACATGTAAAATATTCATATCAACATTGTCATGTGTTTAAACATACTCCGGTTCAACCGATAAAAAATATTAGTTACATTTTAAAAATAAAATTCATTACAGAAATATTTTAATTATTTATTTTTAGAGAAATCAGGTAATTTTATATACAGGGGAGGAGAGTCACTTCAAAGAAAAAATCCTGTTTTCCATTGAGTAATTTTATTGAAGAAAAAAAACACCATAAAAAATTGTAATTTATTTTAAGAAAATTAGGTAATTTTATGCATTATTTCTAAATGAAAGTTTTCTGTTTACCACTGAATAATTAAATAAAAAATATCAAAAAATTATTGTTATTTTTTTAATTTATAAACATTATAATAAACAAGAATCCATCAATTTATAGCAATAATAATATAGATGCAAATTTGATAAATATTCTAATTTATTATATGTTTTAAAGATTTGATGGTGATAACATTTTTAAGAAAAAATCAATTATCTACAAAATAAATGTTGATTAGTTGTAATGCAAAAGTTTTTCTGTTTGCCGTTAAATAAAAAAAATTACAATTGAAAACATTGTAATAAACAATAAATTTATTAATTAATAGCTCTTGTGATAATTTAGCAAATTTGATGATTATTCAAAGTGGTTAATGTTGCAACTTATCAGGGCATTTTAAACGAGTACTCTTTTTTGACAATGTTAATGTGTTGTGTATTTTTTTTAATACTTTAATTTATAACATTTCGGTGGAATGACTAGACCGTTGCCTAAATGAGCTCCTGATTTATTCAGAGGGAGCTGAGAGTAGAAAGTAATCCAATTAATTGAGGCGTTCGGTCCGGATCTGGAGACTATCAATCAAGGACCTAATTATATCCACAACTGGTCTCGTACTCCTGGTACCCCGGCAGATCGGGAGGACGCCCTGGCCAGCTGATAAGGAGCTGATAGCGGCGTGTACTAGGTCAGTGTCGCCCCACCCCCGTTGCCTAGCGACGGCGGACGCGGGGGTGGTATTACCCCCCCGCCGTAACCATGACGACAGCCCCACGTCCGCCTTTACGCGATTTTTTCCCACCCCAAGAGCTGGTAATTAACGGGACAGAAAATACTCTGGATAAAATACTTATATTATTGTTACAAAAATGATAACGTTTTTATATTGACCTGCATTTCAACAACTAAAACCGCACACTTTTTTTGTTTGTTTTTATTTTTGATTGATAACGATTTCGGTTTATTGCCTTAACATTATTTTCATAAATATCCAAAGCGATGTTTACCTTTCCTGCTTGTGAAGTGATAATATCTAGCTGCTGTTGGCCAAAAGGTTTAACATCCTCTTGCCTGTGATGATGGTGATAATCAACGGGTGGGTTGCACTCAGTCATAACTGCATATCACAATCCAACTACCGCAAGCTACAAGATATACGCAGGCACTTCACTGTGGTCCTTCTTGTTCTTGGTAAGATAGACGCCCTCTCGTGAGATAAAAAAAGCACGACGGTACAGGGCTGACTAAAAACTTACTCTGTTGCGGAGCAGTACTACGTGGTGGGGATCGGAGGTGGAGGGGAGGTGGACCCCAAAGTGGAGGGGGCCCGATTCATAAACTTTCCCCCCACTTCTCCAGCACCGGACCTCTTTGTCTTTGAGCCCTTACTCCCCTTCTACACTCGGAATCCCCGGCAAAAACATTAACCCAAATATGACTGCCCCTTTTACAAAGGTGCCCACTTAACTCTCATTATAACCTGCGGTTCAGGAGAGATCAGCTGGCTAGCAGATAAACTACGTTTATAGTTTACGCAATTACACCTCGTATTCTAGTTGACTAGATTTATTGTATCTGTAATATTATTACAATCAATGTTGTATTATGATTTATTTGTTTTCCTACACTGCTTATATATGATGATTAATTAATTTTTTTAAATATTAATTTTAAATACTGATCTCGAACTTAATATTATTTTAATTTATTAGATTTGACCCTTATCTTTTTTTCTTGAAATTGACACATAATGAAACAGTTGACGTCACTGGCGGATTAAGGGGGGGAGAGGGTCAAGTTGAAGCATCCCCAATTGAGATTTTTTTTTTCCATATTTATTTCTATCAATGATCTGAGATAAAAACATACACAATCACTAAGTATTCTCTTTTTAAATTATAACGCATAATTGTTCAAATATTTTTTTTATTGACCCATTTAGGACCATTTCAATATTATTCTTTATAGTTTCTTCAAGAGTAATAATGTTATTTAAAAATAATCAAAGTCTAAGCCTCCGTAAATTAAATCCTGTATCCGCCACCGTTTTCTTTTTTTTAGAATTAATTTAAATTGTGAAAAATTATACATATATTAAGGATTGCATATGTATATCCTTACAGTGCCCATTATAAGAAGGGGGGATATAGGACTCATACTTCTGGAATCCCACGGGATAAATGGGTCTCTTATAATTGCAAAAATAGTAGGGTATTATAATAAAAATTTTATAGGGTGTTATAATTATTTTAACTATTAATTACTTCAATGTATTATTACCGGAGGATGATGCTAAATTCTAAAAAAAAAAAATATTGAGAAAATCAAGAATTTTTTTATATACAATATACAATTTAGTGAATCGGAAGAAATATTTTAATTTTATATTTATTTATTTTTTATATTTCATTTCTTTAAAAATGTTAGTTGACTCAACAGGATTTGGTGACTTTATAGTCACTAGTAATAATAAATAAATTGATTAATTAATTTGTATTATTTTATTTTATTAAAGCTTTATAGGATGATAAGTCTATTGAATAATCAAGTCTTACTTCCTATAAATATTCTATAATCCTTTTTTTAATCCCTATAAAGGAAGGACAATGGAAGGACTCAAAAATGTCTAAACATTGGCCTGGTTGTTTGTATTCATTCCTTAACGCTCTTTCATCCTTTTGCACTGACGGTTCACAGAGGGAAAGGGGCTTTTGCGCGGAAGTCCCCCCAAAATAAAAATTGAAAACTTTTTTTTATTGGTTCATATTTGTTCCTGAAAGTGACGGGAGGTAAATACTTTGACAATCAAAATATATACTTTTTTGAAATTATAACACATGTATTACAGATAATAAATTTAAGCACGTGTCAAGAAAAACTGTTATCAGTTTTTTTCTGTTTTTTTTTTTTTACAGAACTAAAAGGACCACTCAAATATTACTTCGTGTATTGTTTTTGTCAAACGATTCTTTCTTTCCACAGTAATTACTGTTATTAAAATAAAATAAAAAAAAAACCTTAAAAAAACATTAATCATGGATCTCCTACTCTACTTTACTTACTAAGTTTTCAATACCCAAAGGACGTGTATAAAAAAATACTTTTTATTTACTTAAGTATCCTTGGAACTTGAAAATAAATAAAACTTGAAATCATCTGGCAAATACTTAATTATAGTATTCCATCCATGCCTACTTATATTTTATGATAATACCGTTTTAAATTCCAATTAAAACAAAATAATAAAATAAATTTGAGAACCATTATTTATTGGTTATTGGAACCAATATATATTGGTTAACCAATGAGAATAATTAATAACAATAATTATGCCTTTATGTACTTTCTTAATGTGTTTATTTCAGGTAAAAAACTAATTGAAAATTATGTGAATGTTTTTTAGAAATTATTCAACAATATTATAAAAATAGATAAATAAAAGAAGTAATAAATAACATAAGGAAATTGATATTTAGTTAATTAATATATATTTATATATTGTTGATAATATTAGTATATACCAACAATATGATTCGATCAGCTTTAAGCTGGTGTATAAACATGGTTAGTATCAACACGAGCTTCACTATTCACTAGTCTTATTGTATGCTCAACAATGGACTTGATGAATCAAATCTCCTTGTTTAGATAAATGTTTACATCTGTTTCTGTAAGTTTATAATAACTCATCTTACCCTCCTTTTTTTTTTTTTTTTTTTTTTTCGGTTCATGAATTAAATGTTTGTTGGTTGAGGAAACCACACAGACGAGGAAAATCGTTTGATAAATTGATCGTGTGATCGTTATTTTGCTATTCGTATAAAATTTGTATAAACGTATAATTAATCCCCTTGTAAGCAGTAGTTGAGTTAATACAAGCTTAAGATTAGAAAATAAGATTTATATTACTAGATTATTTTAAACTATAATCCATTAGAGTACGTTAAGGCTAAGACTGTACATATTAATCAATTCGCTTATAATTCATTTGGTTATATCTTCGAAATAACGACATTAAATAAATAAAAAAGTGTTCAGTCAGCTATATTTATTTTATTTTTACTTATGAAGCGCTAAAGTTTAAGGCGAAACATATTTATTAAAATAAGTTTATTTATCTTTGTTATTTTTCATTACTGACTGCACCCAATATCAAAGTATCATGGATAACACGTAGGCTAAAATAAGTATATTATGTTTATTTTTGTAAGCATAATATTAACAAAATATTTTACGTATAGCGATAGCTGAATACTGATGAAAAATTGTGAGAAAATTTCTAATAATAAAAGTGGTTCAGAGAAAGAAATTTTTATGAAGGCATTTTGAAAAAGACTGCTTTAGGAAAGCTTAAAATTAATTTAATAATAAAAATAAAGGAAGGAGATGTCCGGGGTGGTGGTCATAAAAAGGCTAAATAGTGGCAAAACTATTTTATTAAAAGCCTACGTTTCGACTCGGTTTTGCAGGTCTTCTTCAGGGCTAGAGCGTGGCTTTTAATAAAATAGTTTTGTCACTATTTAGCCTTTTTATGATCGCCACGCCGGACCATCCCCTTCCTTTATAATGCAACGGTAAACTATTAAATATTCAATAATAATAAAAATATATTTTTTTTTAATAATAAGGGGTTCGAGTAGTTAATAGTATATCCATTAAAATAATTTTACAGGCAATAGCAGATATATTTATTATTATTTTTTTATATCGGTAATAACTCTGAAAGAAAAATAACAATACCTATATGAAGTAATGGTTAAGTGATCCTTAAAGCCAAAAAAAGTAAATAATAAAAAAAAAGGTAGTTATAGCAACAATTTTCTTTACATAATTACAAACCAATGTGAATGAATGAATAAAATATAATTTTTCCGTTTTAGAGGAGGGGGAGGGGAGGGGGGGGGGCGGTGGGGGGTTGATATTATTTTTGATTATAGATAATTAATTTTTTTTTTTGTAAATATTTTTCTCTAAAATTTATGTTCTGTTGTGGTATTGATATTTCATTTCAAAACAATGTAAGTTTTGTTTTTATTTGTTTCAAAATTTATCTATTTTTTTCAAAACATCGATGTCTTAATTTATTATCGGGAGTATATATGATTGATAAAGTGATAATTTTTTTCCCTACCCTCCCCCCAGGAATTTATTTACTACACAATATATAAATACATAAAAAATATATATACAAAAATTATTATCACCTTTTTTTTTTTTTTTTTTTTTTATTCATCATAAATATAGTGATAATATTAACGTGTAAACCTGTATAGTTTTGTTAATATATAATGTTTTTGGGAGAGTGTTGGTAGGGAACGGGACATGTGTGCGACGAAGCCCTTCAAACACCCGTCAGAGAAGAAACAGGCATGAAAGACACTTCCTCTTTAAGAGGGATCAGCCCGACTTGCCCGACCGAACTCGATATCCCATCGTTATAATATATATTTTTCAGCTAAAATAGTAAATAGTTATATATATATATTATGTAATAGGAAACGTGGATAGTAATAGTGAAAATTAATCTAGCCGAAATTCGAGGTGACACTCCGCTATCTAAGATGTATTACTCAACTTGTAGTGCCTTATGTAACCAATCCAACGATACGTTATCTCCAAGACAAGATAAGAATATTTAGTGCAAATTGTCCAATTCAAAAAGATTATAAAAAAATATCACATAAGAAAGTTTGTAGGAAATGTACATTTTCCTGTTCTCCAAGTGGAGTCGCATTTCCTTGTCCAATTCCGAATTCCACATTACATTCACAATGGTACTATAATTATCTATATGAGGGTGAGAAGCACAAAGCTATTTTTATTTTTTTTTTCAAAATACATATTTCACTGGTTATCAAAACTTTTTCATTACTGTCAGAAAAAAAAATTTGAATCTGTCTGAAACTTAATCAATAGTGGTTGCAAAACTATTTTAAGGCTTAGTGGACTACATAACTACATTATATGTAATTTTTGAAAAAGAATTATTATTATCATTATAGTCCGTGGTACAGATCCCTTCTTATCGAATTATTAACATCCGCTTGAAACTTCGTGAATAGTTTCATCTCATCGTAACCTACAACTATTTTATTTACGAAAACTCTTGGAATTG